ACTTTTAAGAATAAAAATATTTGTTTCATTTATTTATGAACTCTCTCCCCTACTAGAGTGAACACTGAGCTAAGTCAGAGCCCATGTCCGGAGTCTAGCACAGTGTAGGCATGCAAAAACTTAATGAATGAAATCTGGGTGGAAGACCCAAAATTTCTCTCTCATTCTTTGTTTTATTCCTGCCCACCCTCTCTGCCACCAACTTCCCACAAACGTGAAAAACTATCTTATTCCCCTCACTACCTTCTGTGCTGAAATTTTCCTATTTCTATGTTGTTATTTCAAAATGTTATTATGAGTAACATTTTCAGATATTATAACCATGAACATTCAGAAAATTCTTCAGCTCATATCCATGTTTTATTCCAGAACCACCCATACCTTTAAACAAGTGAGCTCATATAACTGGGTTTAGCAGGATGGCATGTTTGTATCATGGACTCAGTGGAATAGCTGATTTCTCTTCCCTTGAGCAGGCTCTTGACACAAAGACTCAACCTCAAAACTCAGTACACAAGTTTGTTTTATTGTACTTTAGAACTTTTGTTATAAATTAAGTCATCCATTAATGTCAATATACTTTTATAGATGAAATATATGCAGAACTACATTTACAACTGTAACTCCAATCATTCTTTGCATTTGCTCATTTACATTGTTTAAAAGGATCTTGTATATTTTCCTTGTGGCTCTAGAACTAGGAAATTCTGTTAAACGTCAAGAATACTGGGACAGCCAACTTATGGACAAGAGTTTCACAGAGACCATAAAAACTCATATGTGAAATAAAAAACACAACATATATTAAATGTGTAGACAAAAATCTTGTATGACACTACCCAGTAGACTAGTTTCTAACAGGGGTTACAGTTGTATAAAACATATATTAAACTTTCTCAAAGGCAGAATACTTCTAAAAGAAAATGTTAAGATTCTCTGGCATTATTTTCATTATTTCACAAATGGAACTAAGATTTGTCCATTGTAACAAAATAAAAATAGCTATCAGTGGGAAATATAAGTGCATATTTAAATACTGTATATATAATTGATGTTTATTTTCAAATCTTATTCTTTCACACCTAATTCTTCTCCTTCCCTACTAGTACTGCTTCAAACATTACTAGAAGCACTTGGTTTGCAGAGAGTCTACTTCTAACACTCCCATCCAAGCCTTCAGCTGATGCCCAAGTTATCTCCTGCTTTCATTACTTGTATCATAAAACCCTCTTTCTAAAGGCTGACATATTTGTGTCCAGGAGTCTCACTCTCTGTATCAAAAATCATTCATCAAGGCAGCACAGAGCTTCTCATTGCCAACTTCTCCTCTTCAGCTGGCCCCACTGCATACACTCAGGCACATATGCTCCCTCCACGCACCTGGTCACGCCAATCTCTCCTCTAAGCTTTCTTCTAAGTTGAATCACTTATTAGAATGTCTTTTCATTCTGCTTCTACCATCCAGGTAGTATTCTGCCTATTCCAGGAAGCTTTTCCAGGCTGATCAGGAGAGATTCCAATGTAAGATTCCACTGGCCTAATTCTTGTTGAAAGAATTCAGAACTTCCACATATATTCCCTTTTCTTTCTATTCCTAAAAAATTTACCAACATGAGTATATGATACATAGAATGTGAGTTATAACTAAGTTCTACTTATTTTTATTTTCCTTTTTATTTTTTTTGTGGTTGTCTGGTACAGGGATCCAAACCCCTGACCTTGATGTTATAACACCATACTCTAACCAACTGAGCTGACCAGCCAGCCTTAAAGTTCTATTCTTAATCATAGGTAAAGTAACATCTACTAGCAAGTCTACTTTTTATGCTTCTTTGGGCACATCTAAATGTTAATTGTAGGAAAGGGATCAAGCATTAGTTTAATCCCTGATCACATGAATAAATGAGCATGAGGAAATTTGCCAGTTCATCAAAATTATACTATGTAGGTTGGCCCAGAATATATCCCAGGAAATGAAAATGCTAGAGGTACACCTGCCCCATCCGACATAGCTATGTCACTATATTTAAGGAAGATAACTTTTCTTCTTTTTCAGCTTTGGAAATGGAAGACTAAGCAAAGCATGGACAGAACATTTTCTGCCTGTCCTTTCATTACAGAAAGCCAACATTCAGTCTTTCAGTGCTCTCTCTTGCTCTCATACACATATTCTTTTATTATTTTCTTCTTTGTCTACAACTATCAAACTGAAGATTTATAGTGAGCAGGAACTAAGTCATTCTAGGCAGTATTTAGCACAGAACTTGATACAAAGATCATGGTTTTTGAAAACAAAGTCAAAACTTACAAATAGATATGGAGAAGGCAACATGGAAAAAGGAAGAGTAATTTTTTTCAGGAGCTTAGAAACTATAGGTGATTGTCTAATATTTAATATTCTATTATTCATAAAAATAAAATGATTTAAAATATATATATTGCCAAACTCTGCTCTGCATAGATGTGCGAGGATTATTTCAAAATAATACTAATCAATGAGCATTTAAGAAGCACTAACTATACATAGGGCACAGTGTTAAGCACAATAGATAACTGTCTTCAGAGAACTTATCTCCAGTTGAAGAATCAGGGCATACAGAAAAGACAGAAAGAATGCAAGGTAGCAGAAGCAGAGGAAAACACTGTCTTCAAGGCCACTGAGCGAGGTTTCCTGCAAAGGGTAAGGTTTGAATTAGGCTGAACTAGTGAAATAAGGATAGGCCTTCAATAAGTGGACGAGAAGAAGGGTGATCAGCACTTGCAATGGCCAGTGGGTGGGAAAGCACAAGGATTGGTCAGGGGAAGATGAGGTGGGAAAAATGGAGATGATGAGGCTGGTAAAACAGGGAGAGGACAAATCATGGGAATCCTGAATGGAGAATGAGGGTGACATGAACAAAGTGGTATTGTAGAAAGATGAAGCAGTAAAAATGGAACAGTAGTAATGGAAACAGTAGAAATGAGAAGGGTGAGGCCTGAGAAACTAGAGGGGAAATCTTGACAAGATCTAATGACTGATTAGTACATCAGAAGAAGAGAGACCAGTCCCTGCTGTCTACTCTCCAGATAGTAACTATTTTCTATGTAAAATGGTCCATTCCCTATTCTTTTCCAGCAGTGATCATTTTTCTAGCAATGTGAAAAAAAAAAGTATGATGCAAAATAATTTTTAATTATATTCTTTCTAGTCTTTACCTTTTTTAATTTAAAAATAAAAGGGCAGGGCCGGCCCGGTGGCACACTGGACAGTGCACCGCTTGGGAGCGCAGCGGCGCTCCCACCGAGGGTTCAGATCCCATGTGGAGACCGGTTCCCGCTCACTGGCTGAGCGTGGTGCAGGCGCAACACCGAGGGCTGCAATCCCATTGCCGGTCCCCGGTACAGGCGCGACACCGAGGGTTGCAATCCCGTTACCGGTCAGTAAAAAAGACAAAAAGGAAAAAAATAAAAAATAAAAGGGCAAAAAAGTTTTTAATGGTATTTATTGCCATGATCAAAAAAATAACCAACTACACAGATGTTTTTCCACATAATGATGTTGAAAAGCAAAAGTGACTACATGATTCCACCATATATATACATACAAGGATACTTCAAAAAGTTCATGGAAAAATAGAATTAAAAGATAATAGGAATCTTTCCATGAACTTTTTGAAGACCCTTGTATTAGGTTCTGCCAACATTCATTCATTCAACAAATATTTACTGTAGAATAAATAATAAAAACTATGAATCAATTTAACACCATTATCTTCTCCTCGTGATCCAATTACACAGTCAGAAACAGCCTGGTGAACAGCAAATATTAGCAAATAAAGAGTCAAAAGAATTGACTTTGAATTTGACTCTGGCTTTAATTTGAGGTCACACAGCAAGTAAATTACTTCATCTCTCCAGCTTATGCAAATGAGCAGAAAAGTAACTAACATTTGTGGAACGCTTTTAATTTACATGGATAGTTTTTCCTGTCCCATTTTTTTTTAAAGCTAGAACTTCACTAACACTCTGAAGTTGTACAAGACTGGTTTTATTACCTCATAATTTGCAGATGAGGATACCATATCTAAGTGATAAGACACTGATTACAACCTAGGTGTGTTACCCTAAATCCTATATCCTTTCCACTACATTAGGCTCCTCCTAGCCATGTCATAAAATATTTGAAAAAATTATAGATATGAAAATGCTTTGTTTTGGTGTGACAAAGAGACAATGCAAGTTTTAAGGGGATTAAAGCCTATTTTGGGGTCTCTCTTTTTTTTTTTGTCTTTTTCCATGTCCGGCAACGGATCGCAACCCTCAGTGTCGCCCCCGCACCGGACCGGGACCGGCAACGGGATCGCAGCCCTCAGTGCTGCTCCCGCGCCTCGCTCAGCCAGTGAGCGGGAACCGGTCTGTATGTGGGATCCAAACCCTCGGCGGGAGCGACGCCGCACTTCCCAAGCGGCGCACCACAGCAGTGCGCCACCGGGCCGGCCCTGGGGTCCCTCTTTAAGAGAAAGAACACAAAAATTAGGTAAAAACTTTGAGAGAGGCCCATGCAAATGACAGCCACTGAAACTTAAGCTTCATTTTGTTTCAGGGTAACTCTGCCTCTGAATGTAACAGAAAAAAATTCACCACCCAACCTAGTAAAATAAAGAACAGCCCTCCAAAACCTAACCTATGTCTTCTAAGTAACATGAAAAAACACAGTGGATACAGGGCAGAAAAACACATACGGTCTTTATTTCCTCATGTTCATTCATGATAAGCCATACAACAAAAATTTCCAGGTAAAAATAGTGGTTCCCATATCTTTATTAGGATTAAAAGAACAAATTACCAACTAACAACAAGAAGTAATTATAATGAAAATGATAAGAGAATTATTTTGCTAAGATAATTAAGCTAGAACATCACAACATACAGTAAGTATTGTTTTACACACACATACACACACACACACTCATATTTACTCACAATTTGGCAAGCAAAAGATCTCATTAAAAAATTTTTACCTCGTCTCCGCCCATAGCTCCTGGCTGCATGTAAACACAGAAGAAAACCATGGGTATTTGTATCAAAATGGTGAATTTAGAAATGAAAAAATATTCACACAAACCTTTTCTAAGTACTCTCAGAAGTAATTAATTAATCTGAAGATATTGTTCAACTTGAATACAAACATATTATATTAAAAAAAAAAACCTTTATGAAGTACAAGCCGAATTATAATCTTAAGGAGAAATTCAGCTGGATGTGGCAGCCACTGGAATAGATACAATGGGTGCTTAAGTTTCATAAGTCTTATAAGGATTTACATTGGAGCCTATTATCTATATTAGATATAGAGGTTTTTTTTTTTTAAATTCTGATGTATAAATCTTCATTTGTACTTTATAATGCCACCAGATATCAAAGAAAAAAACATTCATTCCAAATAACTAAAATGATATCAAAGAAAAAAACATTCATTCCAAATAACTAAAATTGTAGCATGCAGTGGTCATTCTGAATTTCTTACTGCACACACACACACACACACACACACATATTCATAAATCGATTCACCTGAAAAATGTATAGAAATTTTACATACAATTAGCTCTTGCTTTATATAAAGTGTTTCTATAAAATTTTCACTAAAGTTTCTCTTATTCTCTCCATTTACTTTCTATTCATTATCACAGATGGGAGAAAACAATATCTTTTTCATCTATAAAGTGAAATGAAAAAGTAGAAAGAGATTAAGGCAGTGGATCCATCCCAGGTCATGCTTAATAATAGAGTGCTTTGAAGGTTTTCTTCCCCTCCAAAACTCAAGACCTACAGAATGCATTGTTACAATGTTTAATAGAGCTAGACTGTGGCATCATATATCTCTGAGATCCTGTCATCTAATGATTTTTCACAAAAGAAAATTTCTCAAATTTGGAACCTTAGGCTCTAGAAAAATAAACGAGAACTTTAATCCATTTTTTAAAGCATGAAATACCATAAAATTAGCTTATACTAAAAAAGGAGGATATTTTGGGGTTACATTTGCAGTAGAAGATAGTAAGCATTAAATAAAACTATTTTTCCCCTAGGAAAAGAATGCAGACGTTTCAACCAGAGAGTTGAAATACCACTTGGCCAATTTCATCAATTACTTTCCACTCTTCCTCAGACATCATACTCACCCTCGCTTCCAAACCTTTAACCTCACTTTCCCTCTACTTAAATATATTAAAAGGGATTATTTAGTTCAAACCCTAATCCCTGACCCCCTTCTGTACTACAACCCTCAATGAAAAAAATCTCTTCTAAATTTATATAATTGTTACTGTTTACATCATATACAAAGGGGATGTATTACAAAAAACAATTTAATTTATATTTTTCATTATTTGAAACCTGCAATTCATCCCCCCACATAAAATATAATAAATGGTAGTTTCCTAGCTTGACCCCAAAACAGTTTGCTTCATCCATAATAACATGGATGAATTAATACTAATAGACAACACTTAAAAAGAGATGAAATAAATTTTGACATCCTATTATTTGCCTCTGTCCCTTCCTCTCATCATCAATGATGTCATGCTGCCTGACACCCTACTGAAAAACCTCTGTTGAGAGGGAAAATAAAACATTCTGTATTTCAAAATTACTCATTTTTCTCCCAAATAACAAATTCCATTTTTTTCATTATATCTGATTTCTGGCCAGATGCTCAATGAAAAAGAATTTGATTGCAATCCTAAGGTTCAAATGACTCATCAAACCTTAACACCCCTAAAGGATAAATGAGAGTACTGTTCAACTGCTGAACATTCAGGTAATATAGAACATGAAGTGAACAGATCTAGACAGGTATGGGGGGTAGGGAGGAGCATCTTGAATTGGGGAAAGGCGAAGAGTTACAAAAAAATCTACTTGGGGTTTTAATCAAAGCTTCTTAAACAGTTCATGATTTTTATAGACTCTTCTCTTTTTCCATTTCTGAACAAAGACTGTAAATTGGTTCATGAAGCCTAAGGATTTTGACATCAGAGAGATAGGCAGCCAATTTAGTGATCTGAGATGCTTAGACTTGTTTTCATCACTCATTGTGAAATTTAATTTTGTGCTGCCTTGGTCCTCATTTCAGTATATTATCTATGATCCCTATGGTGATGATTATTATAGCAGCTAAAACTTAATAAGTACTTACTACATGCCAGGAACCATTCAAAATGCTTCACATGTGTTAATATCATTTAACACACCCTATAACTTTATGACATAAGTATTCTTATTAGCCTCTTTTTTTAAGATGAGGAAAATGGAACACAGAAAGAAGTATCTTGTCCAAAATCAAACAACTAGGGAGTGACGGATTTGGAATATGAATCTAAAAACTCTGGCTCCAGAGTGTACACTTAACCACCTCAATGTGCTGTTAAATTCCTAGGGGACAAAGACCATATCTCGCACTCCTTTTAATATCCTCTAATGCACCTGGCAGAATGCTCTATACCAAGTTGGTACTCAACAAATACGGCTTAATGTCCTAGTGCACAATCAAGGGAGGGAGTAATATATGCCTTGATGGCCTTTAGAATGTTGGCCAATTCTGTTAGTGGTTTAAATTTGATCAAGTTGCTCAGATGAGGGCTGTTTGCAAATAGTCTAATTAGAGTCAAACTTTTCCCTTAAGAGACAGGTAATTAAATGAGCACCAAGGAGGGAAATGTGGGAGTACAAAAGTAGTGCTTTCCCCTGAGAACAAATATGACTTTTAAATAAGAAAGAATATTGAATACATAAATTTACATGAGCCAGCACAAAATGATCCCACATAGAAAAAAAGGGAGTAATGTGACTAATCCCATCTTTACAATATACTATTTATGCTAGGCTGGATTTATACCAGATATAACAGGATGCAATATTCTTTTAACGTACTGTCTACTTCCTCCAAGAACTTTAATTCCCAATTCTCAATTATCACCTTCCTTACAGATAAAATTATGTTATTGTTTCATATATATTAAACAATTTTTTTTTCCCTTTTTTTTTTGTCTTTTTTTTTTTACTGACCGGTAACGGGATCGCAACCCTCGGTGTCACGCCTGTACTGGGGACCGGCAACGGGATCGCAACCCTCGGTGTTGCGCCGGCACCGCGCTCAGCCAGTGAGCAGGAACCGGTCTCCACATGGGATACAAACCCTCGGCGGGAGCGCCGCCGCACTCCCAAGCAGCGCACTCTCCAGTGCGCCACCGGGCCGGCCCTACAATTTAGATCCCATGAAAATTACATCCAACTTTTAGAAGTCAGCGTAATTTTTACCCTTGCCTAGGGATAGTAACTAGAGGGGAGTCGAGAGAAGCTTCTGGGGTACTGAAAATTTTTTTTGGTCTTGATCTGGTTACTGGTTACATGGGTATGCTCAATTTGTGACACTATATCTAGCTATATATTAAGCATATATTTTTGATTTGTGCACTGTTTGGAATGTATGTTACTCTTGAATAAACAGTTAAAAACAATACACTACAAACATTTTAGATTGATTTACTGGTTATAAAATTAATGCAGTAAATCCAAAGTGCTAACAGTTTTTGTAGCTTTGAAATCATAAACCTGAATAATCCAAAACTGAAAAAAAAAGATATTTTTAATCCATCAGAATAAATATAAAAAGGCATATGTATTTTGCAGTAGGAAATGCAAGAGTTATTACAAAAATAGATTTACACGTTCAAATGTGAATGGCACTCTCATGTTAATGGTCATGTTTTGATGGGCATATGAGGCAACACTAAAATGGATCATCTGCTAGTCCTTATCCCTTGGCCTGCACTAGGTTTTAAATGGCTCACTCTTATACATATAATTCCCCCAGGGAACTGCTTTTTTTTTTTTTTTTTTTTTTTTTTTTTTTTTTTTTTTTTTTTTTTTTTTTTTTTTAAAAAAGATGACCGGTAAGGGGATCTTAACCCTTGACTTGGTGTCAGCACCACGCTCACCCAGTGAGCCAACCCCAGGGAACTGTTGTTTGTTTTTCTAAGACTTTATTTCTTTAGAGTATTTTTAGGATCACAGCAAAATTGAAAGGAAAGTATAGAGATTTCTCATATACTCCCTACCCCAACACATGCATAGCTTCCCCCATTATCAATATCCCCCACCAGAGTGGTACATTTGTTACAAGTGATGAACCTACATTGATACATCATAATCACCCAAAGTCCACAGTTTACATTATGGTTCACTCTTGATGGTATACATTCTATGGGTTTTAACAAATATATAATGACATGCGTCCACCATTATAATATCACACAGAGTAGTTATACTGCCTTAAAAATCCTCTGTGCCAACATCTATTCATCTTCCCTCCCCATTAGTCCTTGGAAAGCACTGATCTTTTTAATGTCTCCATAGTTTTTCCATTTCCAAAATGTCATTTGTTGGAATCATAGAGTAAAAAGGCTTTTCAGATTGGCTTCTTTCACTTTAATAATATACATTTAAGTTTCCTCCATGTCTTTTCATGGTTTGATAGCTCATTTCCTTTTAATACTGAATAACATCCCGTAATCTGGATGCACCACAGTTTACTTATCTATTCACCTATCGAATGACATGTTGGTTGCTTCCAAGTTTTGGCAAATATAAATAAAGCTACTATGAACATCCAGATGCAAGTTTTTGTGTCAATATATGTTTTTAGCTCCTTTGGGTAAATACCAAGGAGTGCAATTCTGGATCATATGGTAAGAGCATGTTTAATTTGGAAGAAATTGCCAAACTGCTAATCTGGTTTTTAAATCTACACTAATGCGTCTGCTACGTGGATTCATCTGAATTTGAGGAAGTCTCTCTAAGCTAAGTAACATCATATACAGATTCCATCATAGAGGCAACCCTCGGTGTCACGCCTGTACTGGGGACCGGCAACGGGATCGCAACCCTCGGTGTTGCGCCGGCACCGTGCTCAGCCAGTGAGCAGGAAAGAGTGGGCTGGTAGTTAACTCACTTGGTTAGAGAGTTGGTGCTGATAACACCAAGG